TCTTGGTGAAGCAATGACAGCAACATTAGATACTTTTGCAATAGACACATTTTTGTTAAAACAATGAGGTGAATTTGGCTGAGATAAAGCTTCCTTCGTTTTCCTTATCATGCTCACAGGGGCACCAAGAATGAAGAACCATGCATTAACAAAAGCAAAGTTAAGAAGATATAAGGAGCACAAGACACCTAAGATCTTTTTTAAGAGCACAACATTTTTCCCCATGCACCCTCCTCAAGGAATTGAGAAAGGCGTAAGAAATTAAGAAACGACTAAAAGAACTCTTTCCCTAGTCTCACTTATGATTTTCAGAAGGATCCATTTCTAAGCCTTGGCATGATTAAATCATAATAACAAGAATCAACATTCTGAGGAAGAGGAGAAACAAAAACGTTCTTCTTTATCAATGTCGAGAAAGTTTGCATCAGCAGAATTATTAGTACTATATTTGCCACATTCATGGTAAGGATTGGCAGCTTTTGGACAATTTGGATTTCGAACTCTTCTTTCTCCATCAATCTTTCTGATATGCTGAACTTCTTTGACACTTCTTGGACTATCTAGAATGAATGGAAGCGATTGAATAAGGGGGGGGGGGGGGGAAAGAAAAAGTCATGAACTTCCCCGAAATCAAAACATCTTGAAAATAGTGAGATAAACCAATATCGTTGCTTGATGACGGGTGGTATGAATATTCTAAGAAGTTCTAGAAGCCATATGCTTCAGAGACTTAGACTACATGAACATACAAAAGAAAAAAGGCTTTAGAAAGAAGTCTGTATAAAAGCTACCTGACTTCTTCTGCTCATAGACTTTCGAGTTATTCACAAGCCACACCATCCAAATCAAGCGTAAAACTTAACCCTTTAGAGAGCCACCTAAACATGAAAATGGAGGTGGAAGATTCAGCACGCACAGTGACGGTCCATTCAATTAGGTTATTAAAAAAAATTATGAAGGTCAAACACCACGTCTAAACTACCTTACTCAAACAAATACCCTTCACATATAAAACCATTCTATGCATAACCAAATCAGAAATGAAAAGATTTTATTCTCTTCCCACTGAACATGTATAAACAAAGTCGACATCACTCATTAGCAACTATTGCCAGAAAAAGAAGAAAAAAATGAATAGGCTTTCCTAATCTAACAAGTATTTTTTCCTCAACCCTTTTCCAAAGCAATCAAACCGAACAAAACCTAGAAACAAGATTTGCTTTAACTGTAAATTTTGTCGATCACAAGCTGGAAAAACAAATAAAAAAGCATCGGGAAGAAGGTGTACATACCAAGGGCATAGAAAAATGATAACAGTCTTAGAGCTCAATCACACGGCCTCAGCCACCAGTAGAGTCGATGTCCAATCCGATAATCTTATTTTTGCCATCAATCGGCTGGAGAAGCAAAGAGACGGCAAGCTCCGCACCTCTAGGTTGCTGCTGCAAAACCAACCGTCGTCTCGTCGCCAGTCGCCAAACCTCGCCGGACATCGCCACCTCCCGTACCTCCAACCCCAGGTCAGTGAGATTCTCTGGTTCACCGACCTCTCACATTGTCGGTGCTCAGATCCGAGCTGCCGGCGTCGCTGGCGTTCTCTGCTTTCGATGCCAGAAAGATAGATCTGCATCACCCTGCTTTCGCCATTAGTAATTGTGTTGCCCAGTCGATCTCGTTGCCTCGTAATCCTCCACTGCTTCGTTGTCGCCTCCATCCTCGCCGCTGTGCCCTGCTCTGCCCTCTCGCCCGTCACTCGTCGCCACCGGCCATTGCTCTAGTCGTCGTGGAATGAGCAAAGGCAAGGTAGAGAGAAGAAAATAATTTTTATAACAGGCGAAGAAACGAGATTAAAATGGGAAAGGAGTGAGATCGGTTAGGAAACGTCGACTGGGGTCATAGGGTAAATGAAAAAAAGAGAAGTGAAGAGGAGGAAAATGAGTGAGGTCTTAGGGTAAATGGAAGTTTTGTTGGGGGAGAAGGAATTTCAAGTTTTGGGCGGGCTGAAAATTGAGGTCTAAAAAATGAGAGAGATTTATAAGTGGATAATTAAAAAATTGGACGGGACTGAAATTTGGGTGGGGAAAAAATGTGTCGACCGCGCTGATTGGTTTCAGTCTAACACGAGGTTTCAGTCTAACACAAGCAAATCTGACGAAATGCCTATTTTAAAAAATGAAACCACTATATTATGACGAACCTGTCTTTCATCAAAGCCGAAACCACTATATTATGACGAACATGCCCTTTTGTCAGCTCGTCGTGGGATTATTGCTATTTATTGTGAGATAATACTTTGTCATTTAAACAATTCAGGAAGGCATAATATGACAAAAGCTACTTTGACGATATAATTTGTCACGTTTGTGTCTCTTATATCCCGATATAGGATGCCTATTTTTTACAAAATTAATTGTGACGCGAATTATTTGTCACATTACTCACTTTAAATGACGATTTATTCTGACAACAAATTTTTTTGTCACATGAGGCATAACAAATATGACATATATTATTTTTTTCATATCATCGTACCTACTGCGACAAACATAAAATGACAAAATAAAAAAAATTGTCCTAATAGGCCGAAATTGTTGCAATGAGAACCGGGTCACCGTCAAAACCCCTCACTCCCTCGTCATCCTCCAATCGGGCTCCCCCTTTCCTTCGTCAGTGGTCATTGAAATCTCTACAGTTGGAGATCTAAATCAAGCACGTCTAGTAACATCTTGATACCACTCGAGATGCTCCGAGTGGTAGGCTAGAGTATCCTGAGTATATGGCATAGTCACTATATACTCATGTCGATGACTCCACAAATCAATCAACTCTCTAGAGGTGTGCATCAACCGCTGCCATCGCCAAACATTCCATGTATAATTGTAGAAAATTCTAGCCCGAGTAAAAAAGAAAAACTGTAGAGAGAAACAAAATGAATACAAACTGGAACTTGCTTAAAATTTCACGCCTTCAAATACCATAGTGGAAAATGATGAGTTTCTAATAAGTAATAACCATATATATATGATGGTGCCTTCTACGATACCCTGGGTGAAATTCGGGGTATTGTATACCTTGAGTATGAAAACTCTATCTAGACCTCGAATTAACAGGATTTTTGGACCTAATACTATACCCTAACCCTTGATGAGTGAACCCTAGGTCCTAGTTATCTAAATCAGAAACTATAAACTCTAAGATGGTGCATTCATTTTTTTGCCTATATTTGGGCGAATCATAACCGTCGATTATTATTTCTAATTAAATTGATCTTGGGGTATAAGATTTATAGAATTAAGGCCTAGATTGTGATCTTTAAGGGTTAGAGTACAGTATCATGTCCGAAAATTCAATCAATTCAACGTCTGGATAGCGTTTTCATACTCAAGGTATGCGGTACCCTGAATTTCACCCTGGGTACCGTAGAACTCCTCATATGATATATATATATATATATATATGGCAAAGGCTAGTGTACGCTTGACATATGTTATATACATGCATTCACACTTATCAATTAATTATTATATATAATTAAATTAATTATTAATAACAATTTTAATTACAACCATACCCATTAATTAATTGTTGTTTACGATTTAAACCCACACGGGGATATGCTCCAGCCCACAATAAAGCTCTACCACTCTGCAAGAGTCTGCAAAATCCAAATTACTAACCCTCTCAATGGAATCAAATACAACCAATCACACCAGTGCATTTTATGCAATTGTTTATAATTTTTCACCTGTTAGAAATACCTGTGTCGCCTCCACCACCCTCATCGGCAACAACGAAGACTCCAACCCGGCAACCCGACACATCCCAGTGATGGCGCCATCGCGAGAAGTGAATTATTCCTGAAACCCAATTCACTTGTTGCAGGGACATAATACAGATCTTTGTATCTTTCATAAATATTCAATTGTTTGGGTTAGTAAAACACACTCTTCTCCCTACATCGCCGGCGGGAATCCAAAGCAAAAGCTGATCAGTTGCCTCAATCGGGTGGATTTCTTCTACAACACCATCGTTGAGAGCTATCCTGCTACGCCCCGCAACGATTTCGTCATCGAGAAGAGCGAACCATTATACAAGACTAAGAAGATTAATCCGATTACTGAAAGAATGGAACATCGATCTTTGGATCTTTCATTTTCAAGTTTCTCTTCCACTGTGTTTTCGTAGGGAAGAGCGAATTTAGAGGATCCGATCGGTCGATGCTAAATTAAGAAAGTAGAGGTAAAGTAGGAAGGTTTGCATGACTATAGTATAAACAAAACTATTTTAGTGTATCTAATAACAATTACAATTTTTAATAATAATTAATTTAATTATAATTAGTATTAATTAATGAGTGTGAACGCATGCGTATAGTGTACGTCAGGCGTACGCTAGCCTTTGCCATATATATATATATATATATATATATATGGTTCAGGCTAGCATACGCCCTGGCGTACGCTAGACTACCGTACATCCGTTTAAGTTTTGCTATTTAGATCAAGAATTAACCGGAGTTTTGGGCATGATACTATACCCTAACCACTAATGGATAAACCCCAGTCCCTAGTTTTCTAACCCAAATCATGAGATTCGTTTAATCTTAAAATGAAAATCAACAATAATTCGACGAATCAGAACCGTTGATTTTTATTTCAAAATTAAATGAATATTATTATTTGGGTTAGTGAATTGCGGACTGGGGTTCACCCATTAGGGGTTAGGGTATATTATAGGGCTGTTAGCGGTGCGGTTTTGGTTTTAACCGAACCGCACCATCGGTTAGCCGAGACCGAGAATCACCCAGCATTGTCAACCAAAGCCGACACCGAAGGGGTTTCTCGGTTAACCTCCAACCGCCACCGATCGGTTGCGGTTTGCCGAGACCGACCCACACCAATTTTGAAGCAGCAGCAGGGGAAGAAGAGAGAGGCATCGAAGGCGGAAAATCCCAAGTTGGGTCTCCCGCAAATCGAGGTATATTGTGGGAGGAAGCGTCGAGAGGAGGGGAGACTGGAGAGGGAGGAAGGGCAGTGGCAGGACGACGACGATTGGAGAAGGTAGGGTGGGTCAGGATCTCGGTTGTTGACTGCCGAGGATGAGGAAGGCAAGGCGGCGACCATCGAGGAACATGCAAGGGGAAGCGGAGACGGCAACGAGGTGGGTGGATCTGCTTATGTTGACTCCTTCCCCGGCAGCGAGCCGACGACCTCTTTCGACAAGGAAGGAGTGGGCGAAGTCAAGCGGGGGCGATTGAGGTGGAGAAGTCGACGGCGAGTGGCGATTGAGGATGGTGGTGGCTGCCGAGGAACATCGGTAGAGAGCGGAGATTGAGGATGGTGGTGGGCTGGTGGCTGGCGATTGGGAAAGGGTAGAAAGGTCGACGACGAGTGGCAATTGAGGATGGTGGTGGCTGGCGATTGGGATTCCCAATTTGGGAAAGGGTAGAGAGGGGCGAGCCGATAGGAGAGGGAGAGATTAGTGATTGGCGAGGAGGAGGGATAGGGATTGGAGTCCTGGCGGTTACAGGCGGTGCACTGAGTGATTCTCGGTTAGAAACCGTCGGTTGCCGGTTATGAAATTTGCCTCCAACAGCCAACCGACGCCGACACCGAAAGTCCCAATCGGTTTTCGGTTTCGGTTAAAAACCGACGGTTCGGATCAGTTTTTCGGTTAAACCGGATAACCGGCAACCGACTATCACCCCTAGTATAGTATCGTGCCCCAAACTCCGGTTAATTTATTGTCTAAATAGCAAAACTCAACGGGCGTACGGTAGGCTATGGTACGTCCGGGCGTACGCTAGCCTTTGCCATATATATATTTATACTTGGTTCAATTATGGTTCAATTAGTGCTTCATGGTTCAATTATTAATTCTCTAGACTGTTGTTGAGTCGTGTATGGACCCGTTCATACTTGTGATTGGAATAAATAAAAATAGTATACTAATTAGGGTTACACGAAGAAAGCAAATAAAAAAATAAAGGGTTATGGAAAGCGAGTGAAAATGGAACGAGGAGGAAGTAGATGGTGAAAATGTTTCAACCAATTCTTTTAGTTGGCCATCAATACAACAGTCAACCCTTCTCACCGTAACAACTCATTGAAACTTGCTTATTTAGATGTCTAGGGTTGTGCGCAATGGTTCTGTCCAGGACCGGACCGAGTATAATGCAGTATGATTCTTGGTCCACATGAATTTTGCAAGTACTATAGAAATGATGGAGCGAACTGAACTGAACCAAATGGACCGAATGCTATGATGGTCTGGTCCTTGGTCCTAAGATGTCTTTTCACTAATGGATCGCAGTTCTCATGAGTTAGGTCTGGTTTGGACCGGACCGAACTGTTGCACACCCCTATGGATGTCACATATTTTGTCACATGTATTTAGTAGAAGTTTGTTTAGTACCCCGTAAATGTACTAAATGAGTTTATAAATTCGTTGTTACAATATTATAGAGTCGTCTCTCTTTCATCATTTATTCAATGTTTCAATGCTTTAGGTAATGAGCAATGATAAAATGGCTGAATCTTCTCCTACAGTTGAGTCATACAACATCTTGTATGATTCAAACTGAATTTATACGTTTATGTTATGGTGGATTGGATTCATGGATTGGTTCAAATGGGGTGGATTGGATTCATGGATTAAAGTGAAATCTAGACATTGGACCAATATGTAAATTAAAAATTGTAGGTACCAAAATCTCATAAAATTTAGTTACAAAAACATAATTATTCAATGATTTTACATTAAAATTAAATTTGGAGTATCATATGTAAAATATTATAGTGACTAATTTGTAATATGTTAGGCAATAGTAAAACTACTTCAGCTTAAAAATTTAGTTAAAAAACATAATTATTCAATGATTTTATATTAAAATTAAATTTAGAATATCAAAATGTAAAATATTATAATGATTAATTTGTAATATGTTAGGCAACAGTAAAATTACTTCAGCTTTATATATAAGAACAAGTCAATGACTTTACTCCTAAGAGCTGAGATGACAAATACAAGTAAGCTCCAAAGCCCGTACAACTCCCCTGGTTGCTTATGTTAGCAAGCACTAAGATATTGTGGCCATGTTTTGTGCTCCTGTTATGGTGACAGCAGGGTCGTCATTATACAAGCTGCTGGTTTTTTATTTATCATTTGATGGTAGTTGGTATAGATGAATATTGTAGTTTCGTTTAATGATCGAAGAGAAGAGAAAGCTTTAAGGCTAGAGAATTGTTGTCTTGTTTTGAACTAATTTTATTGACAATAATGTTATAAGTTCATGTTATGAGAATTGGTATTTTCAATTGTATGTTAATATTTCATATAAGAAATTTTATGTATCAGGGGAAAATATCGTGACTAGTGATTGATAGTTAGCCATAGTCAAATACCATGACCAATTGTTAGTATCTAGACACAAGAGAAGCAGTCTAATACCGTGACAAATAATTGGCATCTAGTCACAGGAAATAATTTTATCACGGTAAATACTGTGTTAGAATGTGTACATCCCGTCTTTACATGAGTATTTTTCCGGCTTTGTGTAACAAAATTTGGTATTAGTCATGGGTCTCCCCGTGTTTAATAGGTGCAAATTATCACGGGAAATTATCCTACGACTAATTATAACTAGTCACGGAACCACTTTCCCGTGACCTTTACAATTAGACACAGAGGTATATATTACTGTAATTTTCCCGTGACTAAACCTATTAAATACTGGAAACACACTTTCAAACACAAGATTTTCCGTGATTAAAGGATCTTTTTCCGGTAGTGCTACTACTTTCGGTAAAAAATGTACAAAAGAAAATACGACTATAAAAGCTACAACATTGTTTAAAAAATGTACAAAAGAAAACAGGACTATAAAAGCTACAACATTGTTTAGTTACAACATTAATGGAATAATTCAATTATTAGAACACACAATGATAATTGAAAACAATTATAATGATAATTGATTCTACATTTTCTATTGAAAAATTGGTTTGGTATCAAGTATTCAAAGAGAATTCTAACTAAACTTAACAATAAAAAATGATGTTTTCATAATTCCAAATGATTTTTTTACAATAAGAAAAGTAGAAGGACCAATTATAAAATTAAGAAAATAGAATATTCCAAGAATATTCTATCAATTTTAACGGAATGCACTTAGCAGTAAACTTAAGTGGTACCGGGTGCACATATAATAGAATTCAGTGGTACCCGACGCCCTATTCAAACTTAAGAGATTTGTCTACCACAATTCTCAAATTTAAGTGGCACCCGGAGTATTTTACCCTTAAGTTTAATCATAACATAAAAAGGGACTTATACAAGAGAATATATTTACCATAATATAAAAGGTAAAACTTCAAGTCATACTATAAAGAAAAAACTAAAAATCAATGATTAAAAGTATTGTAAAATTGAGGATTGCTAAACGTCGTCCTGAAAATTACTAAGTATCACCCTAACAAACATCAAAATTACTTACTTATCCTTTTATCTTCCCTTCTATAATTTGCACCCAACAAACACACCATTAATAAAAAAACAAAAAATACGTCTTCTGAAGTTTTCAAATATAACATGATGTATTGATGTTTCACTTTAGATTAAATTAAATCAATTAATCACAATTTTTAAACTTTTAATTATGTAAAAAGTTGATTGGGCAGAGACAAAAATCATGTTTGGGCCATGGACAAACCGAAGCTTTGATTTTCTTTATCGCCCACGGTCAACCGAAGTCAAAGCTTCGGTTTGTCCCGAGCTCAAACGAAGACTTCCTCATTTCCGACGGTTATCTTCTCCTGCGTTCAAAGACGAGGAGGCAGAGCAGGGGTTGGGCTCAGGCGGGTAGAGAGGCGGCGGTTAAGATTCTTCTTCGGCAGCACGGGCGGGTTGGACAAGTGCGGCGGATTCCTCTCTTCCTCCGGGAAGGCTGGTTGTACTGGTGCGGTGGCGGTTGGAGGCGACGGAGACTAGTGCGGTGGTCCACTGGAGGGGAAGGGAGTTGGTCGGAGCACCGCCGGCGCTCACTTTTCGGCAACTTTTAAAGGGGGCGTTCTTCCTTTAAAGGGGGCATTCTTGATCATGGCATGTATTGAATGATCCACGAAGATCTGATTCGAGAAGAACAACAGCTACAGCTGTTACACCAACAATCCTAGTCAATTCAGGATTGATGGAAGTCAGCAGGGTCGAGATGGACTCAAGTGGAAGACCTTACAAGTTTGGAAATAGAATGGCACTTCTCCATACGATGTTTTATTTTTTTATTCTTTAAATCTGTTAAACATGGATTAGTTACAAAATAACGAATCCTACCAAGCCACGTGTCGGGATCTGGTTTAGGGGATTCAAACAACGGTTAACACTGTTTATTATCCATTGTAATCTCTTCCCCCCTTTTCATATAAATAGATAATCCCAAAAGAGAGGACAGTATGTTTTCTTCTGATCCTCCACCCCAATCTATTCGCCTCTTTTCTTATGGTATCATAGCAGCGTTCCGTCGTCCAGGACTTCTAGTCTTCCGCAGCAGCTGCATCCATGGCGACGAACAACAACAATGAAGAGTCAGCCACGGCAACAACAACTATTGACACTAGTGGAGGTTCTTCAACCATTTCACCAGAGTTCGTCTTTGTTAACCCTTTCTATCAAAACTCTAACGGGAATCTATCTCAGTCTATCGTTTCAAAAGTACTAGATGGTAGTAATTATCATATGTGGGCTAGGTCTATTCACATTGCTCTTAAAACCAAGTATAAACTTGGGTTCATTGATGGGTCGATTGAAGTTTCAGATCTGAGAACCCACCCTAATGAGTATAGGGCTTGGGATGCTTGTAATATAGTTGTCTTATGTTGGATTATGAACTCCTTGCATAAGGACATTAAGCGAAGTGTGCAGAGTCATGAGGTAGCACAGCTTCTTTGGGAAGAACTTAAGGACTGGTTTGGTCAAGCTAATGTTATCAAGTTGACCAACCTGGAGGATGAAATCCATGCCACCAAGCAAGGAAACATGACTATAACCCGGTACTACACTCTTGTGAAGGGATTATGGGAGGAGTCTACCAAATTCAATCCCATTGTTCCTTGCACATGTGCTCCAGGACAGGTGACTCCATGTCCAGCAGTGGAGGCCTTTAAGACTAAACAAGAGACTGACTACTTAGTCAGATTTCTTAGAGGAGTAGCACCTGCATTTGATGTAGTCAAGACTCAATTACTCATGATGAAGCCACTGCCCACAATGGTTGCTGCTTATGGTGATTTGCTTCAACGTGAGCAGAAGTTGAAGGGAGATAAGGGTAAGAGTGCACAGTCAGTTGCACTTGCTTCTTTTGGGAATCAATCTGGTCAAGGAAAAACTGCAGGGAGATG